ATCTTGTAAGGCATGGTTTGTGTATCTGCCCTTCTCAAATTGTAGAGTATGTGCACTTATCCTTAATTTTGTCAATGCTGACCTATGGAATGGATTTTTGACTATTTCAAGATAACTTTCGAGTTCAATTTTCTCTTTAATGCATCTGTAAGTACGTAGTTTGTTTTATGGCTGCCTCTCTTTTTTGTCATCGAATAGAGATTTATCACAGTGATTCTGAAATGCCTGTTTTGTGTTCTCTTTGACTGTGGTAATAAGTTTGTTATTAGTTTCAGGAGTGTGGTTTTTCCAGATGTCATCCTTGTTTACCAAATTTAAAGTTTGTTTGATGCTTGACACCCAGTTTGGTGTGCGAGTTATATATAATCAGATACTACTAGTATGTCGTCATCATGCCTTGTTGTTGCCTTTCTTGTTTATACCTCATGCGGGTGTTTTTTTATGGCAAGATGGCGCAAACGGAAGTCCTTCGCAGGTTTATGGTTTCTCATATTTAAATCATCATAACTCTGAAGATAATCATTTTTTTCAAATTTATAATCTATATACATAACTTAATAAATACACACACCAAATTAGGCTCTATTTAGTTCCCCTTTGAAGACTGAGGAAAGACTAGCAGTAATATTGTGGGATGCGGGCTATTTTTATCTGATGAAGTGCAGAGAAGTTTTGCAAACCATCGTGCGATGTTGGGAAGAAACTACCATTATCGCAAAGGAAGACTTTAATAGGCCTTTTGTTAATCAATGGATTTTTACCTGGGGATTTTCATTCTTGACCATTAAGAATACAGTACATGTACATAGAACCAAAGGCCTTACACAAACGCAGGCTATGATATAAGCCTATTATTTATACTTGGGTAAGTCTGGAAAGTGGCGGGGGTGGGTGCGCAATGCTATCAGCACGGTGATCGTTACAGCGAAACGAAAAATCTACACTTCAATTTTAAATTGCCTTTGGAGAAAAAAAATGCGTGAAAAAAAATTATAACAGTATACCACTGGAAGCTGTCAGGCTAAAAATTGTCGACATATTGTGAGATAAGGGTAACAAAGTTTACTTATCATTTACAACTGTATGTTTTTTGTATTCCTCTTGCATGCTGGAAGCGTCTACGTCTTGTCTGTTTGTTTGTTTTTTTGTAGTTTTCAAAGGCTAGTTTTATGGCGCTTGGGGTGAGTAAACAGGGTCCTGGACAAGAAGTCATACATCACCGCACCGTAACTGAGGCCAGCAACATTTGCATATAACATCAACAGTGACTTGTCAATCAAAGAGCAACGCAAACAAACTTTCGGGACTTTTAATCACATACGCATGCCTCAGTTCCCTATATTTTAACATCGAATTTTGAGTATGTTCCATTATTGACAATGCTCCGAAATGTTAACATTATCTGGCCAAGACTGTCTGGGTAAGAAAAAGCAAAAAAAAATTCACTCAGAGTGCCCACGAACCTGCATCTATACCTTAAGCTACTTATTAATATTCTACATAAGGCCAACAAAATTGTTTTGTTGCCCTCAGGGACCGAAAAATATGAAATATCGGGTCGCGTTTTTTTCCCATATACTTCGGCTATTTACAATACCCTTAGTTTTCACGAGTTTAAAAAAAATCAGACTGACCGACCCAATTTTTCAATTTTCCGACTTGAGGGCAACAAAAGTTGTTGTTTTTTTGGCCTAATGTATCGACAAAATTCAAGAAAACAATGACTGAGGATGTGATGTGGGTGTTAATTATGTCTGGGTTGTATTATTGTGGTTTTTTTACCGCATTAGTGATATTTAGACTAGCTATTCACAAAAATAAATAATTAACAGAATATGTGATTTTGCACCCGGCTTTGCATCATCGCATATGTTCAATAATATTTGATATTTGCTATTTGATACCCCCTGGACATAAATAAATATTTTTCATATCTACATTTTAGATTTTTGCAGTTTTTATACCCAATTTATACCCACAAATTCGTACATACATAACATTGTATTACATTGTTTAATATTTGCTGAATAAATCTATATATTGTGATTAATGGTATAAACAAAGATGATGGTTATTATCAATAAACTGCTGGGTTAAAGTTAATTGGCCCATGGTGTGATGACGATATACCTTAGTTGTGAGGCCACTTATTTGCAGCTTCATCTTTTATAATGCAGACGGCTTTTGACCATACAATTGGTGTATATTTTTGTTAGTTTAAATGTACATTTCATGAAATGCAATATTTTGTTTCAAGCATATGAAATGTGACAAACAGCATAAAAATATAATCTATTGTTAATTTTATATTTTTGCATATCCGAAGAATTACGAAGTGATGATTTTCAAGGATGCGATTTACAGAAGCTACTATTTTATTTGTTGATTTATTTATTCTCTTTTGTGTTCTTGCCACGAATTTGTCAAACATTTTATTATTCAAAACAAAGTTTTGTTTTCAACCTTCTGATGGGAAGTCGTTTTTATGAGGTAGTGCGGTTTTTTTCTGGTGTCTTGGAGCTTTGGACAAGGGAACATCGACCTTGAATGGATGTTACCCTGACATGTTCATTATCTACAGTGCAAACAAAACTTCATTGCAAAGAATCCAAAAAAATCATGGTGAATTGCTCAAAGCAGTCGATTCGCTACAAATAGCCTCCGCTAACCGAGCTACAATCCCTGCTTTGCATGTTGCAAGCATACAGAGACCTTTTGGAGACCTTTGACATCATGGCCAACGTTGGCCATCATTACCATTAAAAAACGGTGAAGGTTCCGTCTGACAAGATCAGTATGTGAAGCTAGCTAATGAAATTACAGTTAGTAATTGCCTTTAACAGCACTACCCTTTGGCAAATACCTGTGCATCTCTTTAGCTGCAGAGGGGTTCTGATCGAACAATTGTCGTCATATTAAAATTTAAAAAAACAGCAGTTGGTGTCAAGAATCAACTAGCGTGGGTTGCGAATTGGTGGGAAAGTCGTAGTCTGGCCATGAAGAGGAATCTAGTAGCCGTAGATTACATTAGAATTTTCACGATACAAGAAATGTAAATCTCTGGCAGTAATGATTGCTGATCAGTTCCCCTGGATGTTGATGGAGTCGAGAAACAGCCATGCTTTTGACATGCAGTGATGATAGGTCTGATATTTTCACAAGTTACCACTACTTTCTATGAAACTAAACTTTGCAGGCACCATTTGTCATTCTGTTTTCATCTCAACAACCTCTGCCGCATGCAATACAGACGCATGTTCTATGCATCTCACATACCTTGCACCAGTGAGGTCCAGGGTATGGATGAGCGGCCATGTTGTCTGGCTCCGTAGTTTCCGGAGATCCAGTGAAAACGTTCTCTGGATTTTTTTCCTTCCCTTTGAACTATTTGGTTCGGCGACATACATCAAAGTGTTCAAACTAAAGATCTTCTCACAGAATACTAGCCTTCTTTAAGCAGCAAATGTAGCAGTATTATTTCAGTAAAATACTGTTAAACTTTAATGCACATGCGTCCAGATAATACGTACAGTAGATTAAAAACTATAGTGTTTTTTAGCTCCGCTGTCGACAAAGTCGACACAGCGGGGCTGTTCATATTACTGAATTTCCGTTGTTGTCGTCAACTTTACAATTTAAACTTCTTCTTCGAAACCGCAAGTCAGAATGTTTTCAAATTTAATATGCAAGTACCTTGGATGGTTCTTTCTCAGATTTGTTCATTTCATGTCGAAATCTCAAATTCTCTATTTTTGGTGAATATTTTTGTAATGTTTGGTAAAAAGTGATATTTTCGATTGCTTTGATATTACATATATAGATGTAATATGTGAACCTCTCTCAGATTTGTTTATTTCGCGATGATATCTTTAATTCTCTAATGTTGGTGAATATTTTTGTAATTTTTGGTAAAAAGTGATATTTTCGACTTCTTGTTAAGAACCGCAAGTCCGATTGCTTTGATATTACATATATAGGTACTACATGTGGATCTCTCCCAGATTTGTTCATTTTGTGATGATATCTTTAATTCTCTAATTTTGATGAATATTTTTGTTATTTTTGGTAAAAAGTGATATTTTCAACTTCTTGTGAAATACCGCAAGTCCGATTACTTTGATATTACATATATAGGTGTAATATGTGAACCTCTCTCAGATTTGTTTATTTCGCGGTGATATCTTTAATTCTCTAATTTTGTGGAATATTTTTGTAATTTTTGGTAAAAAGTGATATTTTCAACTTCTTGTTAAAAATCGCAAGTCCGATTGCTTTGATATCTTCAGTTTTTAATTGAAATGTGCATTGCTAACAGCGGAGCTTGTTTTCCGTATTCCATAAAAATAATCCGATCACAAGATTTTGATTGGGTAAGGTGCCAATCAGTTGCTTACTTCCCCTGATGAAATGGGCCATACATGTATATAGTGATTTGAGCTTGCAGTGTTATGGTGATATTTGTTTTATTTTACAAGCTTTGTGACGGCTTTGGACATTGATTCTCTCGACATATTGTCATTCTGTAAATGCACAATTACAGTGTTTGTGATTACAATTTATCCGAGCTATAATATATATGCTATATCTGATACTATGTATCAAGGTTTCGACTTGTTTAACCTCCCCAAACAATATGAACAGCATTGGAAAGTTGTTTAACCGACTGTGATACAACCCACTGTGTGAATGTTATGTAGTATGTCGTAAAATGTAATAATTTAGTTATGTCGTTAT